AGAGAAAGAGGACACAAATAACATAATATCATAAATGACACAGGGACCATCACTACAGATCCTATGGACGTTAAAAGAATAATAAAGGAATATCATTGACAACTTTGTGCCCTAAGGTCTAACCCAGATCAAATGGCAGATTCCTTGAAAGACACAATTTGCGGCAGTGCCCCCCCTCCCTAGAGAAACTTGAGGCCACAGGGCTGCCTCCCATCCTCTGGCCTAAAGCCCTTTCCTCTTAAGGGGTGCTCTCGCAACTGGTCCACCTATTCTCCGAATCAACGCAAAGCGAGAGGACAGAGCCTTACTTTGTCGTCCTTGGTAGAATGACGTGACATCACAGCTCACAGCAACCTCCACCTCTTAGGTTTAGCTGATTCTCTTGCCTCAGCCTCCTGAGTAACTGGGACTACAGGCACCCACCACAATGCCTGGCTATTTTTTGTTCCAGTTTGGCTGGGGCCAAGTTGGAACCCACCACCCTCGGCCGAGGCTGAGGTGGCCTCCTTGAACCACAGGATCCAGCTGGTTGAAGAGGAGCTAGATCGTGCCCAAGAGCGCCTAGCCACTGCCCTGCAAAAATTGGAGGAAGCAAAAAAAGCTGCTGAGGAGAATGAGAGAGGTATGAAGGTTATTGAAAACCAGGCCTTAAAAGATAGAAGAAAAGATGGAACTCCAGGAAATCCAGCTCAAAGAAGTGAAACATATTGCAGAAGAGGCAGACAGGAAATATGAAGAGGTGGCTCGTAAGTTGGTGATTACTGAAGGAGACTTAGAATGCACAGAGGAAGGAGCCGAGTTGGCAGAGTCCAGTTGCTGAGAGATGGATGAGCAGATCAGACTGATGGACCAAAACCTGAATTGTCTGAGCACTGCTGACGAGAAGTATTCTCAAAAAGAGACAAATATGAGGAAGAGATAAAGATTCCTACTGATAAACTCAAGGAGGCAGAGACCCATGCTGAGTTTGCTGAGAGATGGGTAGCCAAGCTGGGAAAGACAATTGATGATTTGGAAGATAAACTGAAATGTACCAAAGAGGAGCATGTCTGTACACAAAGGATGCTGGACCAGACTCTGCTTGACCTGAATGAGATGCAGAGCACCCCTGTCCCACCCTGCTGCTGCTTCTCCCTCTGACCCTGAGGCCAGCCTGCCTGAAGCTGACCTTTAAACTGAGGGCTGATCTTAAACTGGAAGGCTGCTTTCTCCTTTTGCCACCCCCTCCATCCCCTGCCCACCCCACCGCCATGTCTTTTTTGCCAAACTGTCTCTGTCTCTTCCTAGAAATTCCAGCTGGGCTAGAGGCTGAGCATCTTTGGGAACAACATTTAAGGCAATGTCAGCAAAATGTCTTTTTATTAAAAGCATGTTGTGATGTACACATTTTGTAACTACCTTTTTGTTGTTGTGGCAACCATTTGTAAAACAATCCAATACTTCCCCAGCTCTTGAAGCAGTAGTCTAATCCCTTTCTCACTTTTGGAAGATGATTTTTTAGCTTAATGCATATTGCCCTCTTCTTAGAAGAGGGGAAAAAGGTCTGGGCCTGCCTTACTGAGAACCAAACAGAGCCCAGGGAAAGACTCCTCTATGGACAACCTCACTGCTCTGTACGAAGTACCAGCCAAACCAGAAAGGTGATCCCAGGAGGAGTTAGCCAAAAAAAAAAGAAAACAATAAAAACATGCTGTTGAGGTTTTCAGCTTTAAGATATCTTTGGACAACTTTTATTTTTTTCATTAGAAGTGACCAAGTTAAGATGGTAAGACCTTTGAGACCAGATTTTTATCCTGTTTCTACCCACTTGCCAATGACTCAGAGAATGGATCATGTGCTCCTTATGTTGGGTGGACCACATAATTGCTCTCCTGCCTTCTTAAAGAAAATTATATTTTTGCCACTAATTTACCAATATGAAACTCATCTCATTACCCTTTTCTGGGTCTGAAGCTGCTATGTCTAAAAGTGCCATCTCCTTGTACTTTGCAACAGTCTGTGCTAGAGAAATCTTGAATAGCTTATGTACAAGACTTGAAAATTCTATATTATTTGAAACCTTGTTTTGTTGGGTTTGGGGCACCCTGGCTATGAGAGCTCCCTACAGTCTTTGAGCTGGCAGTGTACTGAAAACCTTTTAAAGTTTCTTCCCTGCCCAGTCCCCACTTTTTGGAGAGGTTTCTCTGAGTGAGGCCTATTAGGTGTACATCCTGCAGCTTATTAGCTTAAAATGTACTCTCCTTTGGTATGGTCTCTTTGGGGCCACTGGGGAGAAAGAGAAAACCAGTAGTGCAACTGTTTTGATACTGAATATTGACAGGTGTCTTTTTGAAATAAAGAACTAGTCCCTCCAAAAAAAAAAAAAAGAAAGACACAATTTGCCAAAACACACATGAGAAGAAACAGACAATCTGAATAGGCGTGTATCTTTTTATAAATTTAATCATTAATTAATAACGTTCTAAAACAAAAAGCACCAGACCCAAATAGTTTCACTGGTGAATTCTAAAAAGCATTTAAGGAAGATGTAACAATTATCTATTATCACTTTCAGAAGGTAGAAATAGGGCAGCGCCTATGGCTCAGTGAGTAAGGCTCCAGCCCCACATACCGAGGGTGGCGGGTTCAAACCCAGTCCTGGCCAAACTGCAACAAAAATAGCTGGGCTTTGTGGCGGGTGCTTGTAATCTCAGCTGCTCGGGAGGCTGAGGCAAGAGAATCGCCTCAGCCCAAGAGCTGGAGGTTGCTACAAGCTGTGATACCATGACACAGTATAGAGGGTGACAAAGTGAGACACTGTCTCTAAATAAAAAAAAGAAGGTAGAAATAGACGAAATACTAACTCATCTCATCCTATGAGGCTATGGTAAATGGTAAACTTGTTCACATGTGAGAAAGTAACCAAAAAAGAGCTTATCTACTTATAATATCTGTAATAGTATTAAAAAAAAAAGTAATAGCATCTACTTATATTCAATAATAAAAAAAGTATTTTCATGAGAATAAGGCTCACAACAATATGACATTTTACCAGTATTTCATTATATCTGCTATAAGTATTCAAGTTGCTCATTGTTATAATGTGAAATATATGTTATATAAACTATTATGTAATCTCATGTTAAGTATTTAATGGGGGCTCGGCACCTGTGGCTCAAGCGGCTAAGGTGCCAGCCACATACACCTAAGGTGGTGGGTTTGAATCCCCAGCCCAGGCCCGCCAAACAACAATGATGGCTGCAACTAAAAAATGGCCAGGCGTTGTGGTGGGCTCCTGTGGTCCCAGCTACTTGGGAGGCTGAGGCAGGAGACTCGCTTGAGCCCAGGAGTTGGAGGTTGCTGTGAGCATGATGCCATGGCACTCTACCCAGGGGGATAGCTTGAGGCTTCGTCTCAAAAAAAAAAAAAAAAAAAGTATTTAATGGGGCAAAAGTAACTAAATTTTCTCATTTATTTTAATAACTAAATGCTTGAACAACCCTTACATGAAAATTCAGTTTCTTTAATAAAATCCTGTTTCCCCAGTTAAGTCTTTTAAGTAACATAGCATTTAACTTGAGGCTGAATATACTCAAAGAAGTGAACTTACATTTTACAATTTTAAAATAGGCAGTTAGATTTGCCACATTAATTTAAATACACTTTTTTGGAAGGGAGAAGATAAGGGCTCAAGTTGAGTACAATTATTTGATGCTGTGTTTAACAAACCAGTATTATTCTTTCCCAAGAAAAGTTTACCTGTATATTAGAATCTCCCTTTATATACTTTGCTCCTTCTATGATAGCCATATATGAGAATCTAAGTTGATCTGGTGTCTGAATAAGTCCCATTCGATATTTTCTCATACCCAGTAACACTTGCTTAATGTTAATATCTTCTCCTTTCTCCATCTGCAAGAAAGGTAAAAGTCAGTCAAGCCTTTTGTCTTTAGAGTTCAAAGCAATACTGGATCACTAACAAAACTTTTACTATATATTTAGTCCTCTTCAGGAATAAGAATAACTCAACACTGCAGTTCTAACTGTTGTGCACACAATCACTTCAATCTACCCACCCTCCCTGCTCAAGTAATAGATGTAGGACTTTTGATTCTTTTCTCTATTTTTTTGAGAGAGAGAGAGACCCATTTTGTTGCCTTCGGTAGGGTGTGGTGCATCACAGCTCACAGCAAACTCAAACTCTTGGGCTCAAGTGATTCTCTTCTCTGAGCCTCCCAAGTAACTGGGACTACATGTGCCCACCACAACACTCAGCTATTTTTTAGAGATGGGGTCTCACTCTTGCTCAAGCTGGTCTCAAACCTGTGAGTTCAAGCAATCCACCCAACTCAGCCTCCCAGCCTGCTAGGATTACAGGTGTGAGCCACCAAGCCTGGCCAGGACTTTTGATTCTTTTTTTTTTTTGAGACGGAGCCTCAAGCTATCCCCCTGGGTAGAGTGCCATGGCATAGCTCACAGCAACCTCCAACTCCTGGGCTCAAGCGAGTCTCCTGCCTCAGCCCCCCAAGTAGCTGGGACTACAGGCGCCCGCCACAACGCCTGGCCATTTTTTTGGTTGCAACCATCATTGTTGTTTGGCGGGCCCGGGCTGGGGATTCGAACCCGCCACCTTAGGTGTATGTGGCTGGCGCCTTAGCTGCTTGAGCCACAGGCGCCGAGCCAGGACTTTTGATTCTTTAGCTTACTCACAACTGATTATAAACCAATCTAGCAATCCCATTCATTTTGGCTGATGATTGGTCAAAGGAAGGATGTACAATCAGTTCTGGCTAAATCCACTGGGATTAGATTTTTTTTTTAATGTTCTTGGTAGGAAAACCATCTCATCTGACAATCTACTTTTGCTAGTGGTCATGTTAGAAAGCTTAAGAATGCTGAGATAGGGCAGCGCCTGTGGCTCAGTGAGTAGGGCCCTGACCCCATATATCAAGGGTGGTGGGTTCACACCCGGCCCCGGCCAAACTGCAACAAAAAAATAGCTGGGCGTTGTGTCTGGCGCCTATAGTTCCAACTACTCAGGAGGCTGAGGCAAGAAAATCACCTAAGCCCAAGAGCTGGAGGTTGCCGTCAGCTGTGATGCCACAGCACTCTACCAAGGGTGACAAAGTAAGAAAGACTGTCTCTCTCTCTCTCTCTTTTTTTTTCATTTTGCAGTTTTTTTGCCAGGGCTGTGTTTGAACCCGCCACCTCCGGTATATGGGGCCAGCACCCTACTCCTTTGAGCCACAGGTGTCGCCCTGAGACTCTTGTCTCTTTGAACCCGCCACCTCCGGTATATGGGGCCAGTACCCTACTCCTTTGAGCCACAGGTGTCGCCCTGAGACTCTTATCTCTTTGAACCCGCCACCTCTGGCATATGGGGCCAGTGCCCTACTCCTTTGAGACACAGGCACCACCCAGCACCTCTAGTTTTTAAAGAAAAAGAGACATAAGGCTTGTCTGAGGAGGAAGGAATTCAATATTACACATCAATTTATATTTGAGGAAAAAGGAGGGGATCTGTTATTTTGTAATAAAAAGCTGTGACAAAGAAAAAAATCTCCTTGGCAATCTCTATCATCTTCTCGGACATATCCCCACCAGTCAAGAACAAGGGGCTATTAAAAGGTTAGAAACGAGATTTTTAGGTTTTTACAAAAGAGGGCAGAAGTTTGAGAAACCCAGTTCTGGGAAATGACATCAGAGCTTACTCTGTGCCAGTGGAAACAATGAAAAAAAAAATCAATAAGACTAAAATGAGAGAAGGAGGAGAGAAGCACTTACCAGAACAAGACAGGTGTCTACCAGGGAGAAGGTGCCTGAGCGCCCAATGCCTGCACTACAGTGGATCACCGCAGGCCCGTGGTCAGGGTTCAAGGAGCCAGATTCTCTCACTTTAAACAAGAAATTGAGAAATGAAGCTGGTGATTCAGGAACTCCAAAATCTGGCCAGGTAGTATAATGAAAGTGAGATATTGTTCTGGTTTCACCGCTCTAAAAAGTAAAGATCAAGGGAGGAGAAGTTAGTTCTAATTTTTTTCTTGCAAAATTAAAAACTACTTCAGAAAGACCATGTGTTTTACATAACGTTTTTAATCCTTGTGGACTGTTTATATGATTGTTTTTCCATTTGATTTTTTCTCTCTTTTTTTTTTCACACAGGGCTTACTCTGTCACCCAGGCTATACTACTGTGGCCATCAGCCTAGCTCACAGCAACATCAAACTCCTGAGCTCAAGCAATCCTCCTACCTTAGCCTCCTAAGTAGCTAGGACTACAGGCTCCCACCACCACACTGGGCTGATTTTTCTCTTTTTAATGGAGATGGGTTCTTGTTATTGCTCAGGCTGTTCTTAAACTCCAAACTCAAGCAATCCTCCCACCTTGGCCTCTTAGAGTGCTGAGATTATTGGCCTGAGCCACCAAGCCTGGCTTGGTATTAAGGAACTCTGTTTGGTTTCTGATAATCACAAAATTATAAATTAGGGAAATTTTTCTTCATGTGAATTTGGAATATCTGTGTATACTAATAATAGGTAATATATATGCCACTTACTATTTTGGAGGTCTAGTCTAAGCTTTTTACTTATTAATCCAAGCTATGTAAGAATATGACTAAAACCTGTTTTCCACATGAGAAAACCAAAACAAGGGCTAAGAAATCTGCTCAAGGTCACATAGCCAGAAAATGGCAAAGCCAGGATTTAAAAAACAGTCCAGTGTAGCAGCTTATACAGGGCATGCTACAAATACTTTAATTCATATATCATTAGTGGATTCTTTTTTTCTATTTTAAGAAATTCCTGGCTCAGTGCCTGTGGCTCAAGAGGCTAAGGCGCCAGCCACATACACCCAGTCCCACCAAACAACAATGACTACAACCAAAAAAATAGCCAGGCGTTGTAGCCAGGTGCCTGTAGTCCCAGCTACTTGGGAGGCAGAGGCAGGAGAATCACTTGAGCCTAAGAGTTGGGAGGCTGCTGTGAGCTGTAATGCCATGGCACTCTACCCAGGGCGACAGCTTGAAGCTCTGTCTCAAAGAAAAACCAAATTCCTACCTGGGCAGTGCCTGTGGCTTAGTGAGTAGGGCAGTGGCCCCATATACAGAGGGTGGTGATGTCGAACTCAGCCCCAGCCAAACTGCAACAACAACAACAACAACAAAATACTCAACACCTTGGTGGGTGCCTGTAGTCCTACCTACTCGGGAGGCTGAGGCAAGAGAATCGCCTAAGCCCAAGAGCTGGAGGTTGCTGTGAGCTGTGACCCCATGGCATTCTACCAAGGGCGACAAAGTGAAACTCTGTCTAAAAAAAAAAAAAAAAATTCCTACTAGTACAATTTTACATTCTTTAGTGATTTCCTCTCCTCTTTAAGAATTCTAACGTTAGGCAGCGCCTGTGGCTCAGCCTGGCCAAACTGCAACAAAAAAATAGGCGTTGTGGTGGGCACCTGTAGTCCCAGTTACTCGGGAGGCTGAGGCAAGAGATTCATCTAAGCCCAGGAGTTGGAGGTCTCTGTAGGCTGTATGACGCTAGGGCACTCTACCGAGGGCAATAAAGTGAAAAACAATAAAAAAAGAAAAGAATTCTAAAGTTTATTTTTAAAATATAATCTCTTCATATGATTTATCTAATAGATTCTACTATACAGGCACAGAGGACTAACTCAAGAATTTAAAGGAATAATCTTTACGTTTTTAATTGAAATTGCTCCTCTGATGGCTACCTTTCCCCATGGAAACAGCCTCCGGCCCTTGTGCTGCTGACATGCTGAAGTGGCTCACCAATGCCAACTGTTCCTGTCTCCTGGGCCCACCTGGCATTCACTATTGCTTCCTGGATCTGTGTGATGATCTTTTTTCCTAGGAACTCATTATAAAAATGTTGCTCAGCCTTTTGCCAATTGCCTTTCCCCCCAAGGAGCATTTCTCTGCTTTATACTATTTATTTCTATAAAGGGAAGCAGTGATCTTCTACTATCTCTGTGCAATTTTTCTTTTTCTTTTTTTTTGGCATTTTTTTTTTGGCCGGGGCTGGGTTTGAACCTGCCACCTCTGGCATATGGGACCGGATCACAGATAATAGCAACCTCAAACTTTTGGTCTTTTTTTTTTTTTTTTGAGACAGAGCCTCAAGCTGTCCCCCTGGGTAGAGTGCTGTGGCATCACACTCACAGCAACCTCCAACTCCTGGGCTCTAGCGAGTCTCCTGCCTCCGCCTCCCAAGTAGCTGGGATTACAGGCGCCCGCCACAACGCCCGGCTATTTTTTGGTTGCAGCCGTCATTGTTGTTTAGCGGGTCCGGGCTGGGGATTCGAACCCGCCACCTTAGGTGTATGTGGCTGGCGCCGTAGCCGGTTGAGCTATAGGCGCCGAGCCAAAAACTTTTGGTCTTAAGGGATTCTCTTGCCTCAGCCTCCCAAGTAGCTGGGACTATAGGCAACTGCCACAACGCCTGGCTATTTTATTGTTGCAATTGTCATTGTTGTTTAGCTGGCCTGGGCCAGGTTGAAACCCACCAGGCTCAGTATGTGGCTGGCACTGTAACCACTGTACTACAGGCGCTGAGCCCAAATTTTCAGTTTTGTTATAGGACTTTTTTTTTTAAGGGAGGAGGTATGAAGCAATATAAAAAACTTGATCTGTTTAATGGCTCACAGCTAATGATTATTATAATATCCTGCTCCCAGCAAACATTTTCACAATTAGAGGTCAGTTTTCAGCTGGAGATAGTGGCTCATGTCTATGATCCTAACTCTGAGAGGCTGAGGCTAGAGGATCAGTTGACGCCAGGAGTTCAAGATCAGCCTAAGCAAGAGTAAGACTTCTCTACAAAAAAAAATAGAAAGATTAGACAGGCATGGTGGTACATGCCTGTATTACCAGTTCCATGGAAGTCAGGACGATCTCCTGAGCTCAGGAGTTCAAGACTAGCCTGAGCAAGAGTAAGACCCCGTCTCTATCTAAAAATAGAACTAGCCAGGCGTTGTGGTGGATGCCCATAATCCCTGCTACTTAGGAAGATAAGACAAGCAGATCACATGAGCCCAAGAGTTTGAGGTTGCTGTGAACTATGATGCCACAGCACTCTACCCAGGGCAACTGGACTCTTATCTTAAAACAAAGAAAAAACAGGGAATTTACAACATTTCACATAAAGAAGTCTATGCTGTAGTTTCCTTTTACAAAGCAGTGACTGGGCAGTTAACAAGGCAACTCCCACACAGGAATGAGCTAAGAGGTTGGTCCTTGATTAACCTAGGAATGTAGTTAGCTCAAACTCATGTTTTCATTTCAAGAGGGTGTTAAGATTCCAGTAGGTGTTTTCCACCTCATTTCCCCCCAACAATTCTGCCCTGCTGTGGCCAACATCAGGGGCAGACTTGGTCCACACCAGCCTAAATCTGACCCAGCACAAACCAGTCCACCCGGGGCCTGCTCCTATGTGGGTGCGCCAGCCTGCTCCCCAGACTGCGGCTCGAGCCCCTCCAGTGCTGCACATCTCATTACTGCCCTGGCTCAGCATGTGGGCTTATCCCACAATCCTGTGCCACTTCTTGCTTTTCCTTTGCTTATATGATTTTGGCTCAAGGCTAGTCATCTCTTGATTTTTTTTCAAATTCAGGTGACACTGCTTGGGATTCTAGAAGTTGTTTCCTAGAAATACAATTATTTATGGCAGTGCCCATAGCTCAGTGGGTAGGGTGCCAACCACATACACCGAGGCTAGTGGGCTTGAACCCGGCCCGGCCAGCTAAAACAATGACAATTGCAACAACAACAAAAAAAAATAGCTGGGTGTTGTGACAGATGCCAGTAGTCCCGGCTACTTGGGAGGCTGAGGCAAGGGAATCGCTTAAGCCCAAGAGTTGGAGGTTGCTTGCTGTTAGCTGTGATGCCATGGCACTCTACCCAGGGTGACAGCTTGAGACTCTGTCTCAAAAAAAAAAAAAAAAAAAAAAAAATCAGATGCTACATGTATTTCATAATTTTTCCAACTCAGTAAGGACAAATTCTATGTTGTAAATCACCTAAATTAATAATAGTAAGTTATTTTCTTGACCATTTCGCTATTCCCAATAGAAGTATGTGGAGCTGTTTACTGGGCATCATTCTGCGTTAGATGCTGTGTGTACACACCTTCATCTGGGCCCCTGACAGCCCTGGTAGGGACAATAACATCTATGCCACAGATGAGAGAACACCAGGAAGGCTGAAGAGCAAATCCAAAGTACTCATCAGAGCTGAGACCTAGATCTGGGTCTGCCTGACTCCAAAGCCCACCCTTCTTAATTGCTAAGTTTTATTTATTTATTTTTAATTGTTTGGGATTCACTGAGGGTATAAAGAATTAAGTTGTACTGACTATATTTATAAGGTAAAGTCCCTCTAAATATTTTTAATAATTAATTTTCAATCTCCAAATATCAACCTCAACTTTGAAATTCTTAGTTTCAGGATTTCTTGAAAGTCCTCAGAGAGCCACTGAAGACAAATGAGTATGACCAGATACTATTACAGATACTGTCTGAACATATGTGCTATATTAAACATCAAATCTAATAATGAAGAATTCTTAAACTATCATATAAAGTACAAACATCTGGGCAAGAGAAGTCTTACGCTCATATTCTCTAATTGCAGCAGGTGTACTGTATAGTAAGACTTCACGTCTTCTGACAAGAGCTTCACACTGAATCCTGTTTCTTTAAACAGCATCTCTTGGTCATCTGTTGGCCAGTACTGTGCACATTTAACCTAAATTTTAAAATATATATATGATTATTTTTACTTAACAGACATTAGGAAACCATGGAAAGTTAAAAAGTGAAAACAAACCACACACATACTTGCTAGATATTTTTCAAGTACCCAAACCTAAGAACAGTCACCACTATATTTGAAGTGTAATGTATTTTATTATGATTGACACTTTATAAAACAGCTTTATCAATGTTCCTATAACTTATAAACTAAAAAAGCCATAAACAGATATTATATTCACAAAATAATTATTTTTAAAGCATAATAAGCTATATTTTAAACATTATGTGGGATTCACTTTATGTTTCTAAAAGTATGAAATTTTCAAATAGTATTGAAAAAGCCTTATTTTACAAATACTTTCCACAAATACCTATAAATCTGCTACTAAATACTCCACCTAGAAATTACATTGTTATTTACTTAAGATTAAATCGGGGTGGTGCCTGTGGCTCAGTGAATAGGACGCCAATCCCATATACCAAGGGTGGTGGGTTCAAACCCAGTTCCAGCCAAACTGCAACAACGGCATTGTGGTGGGTGCCTGTGGTCCCAGCTACTCAGGAGGCTGAGGCAAGAGAATTGCTTAAGCCTACAAGCTGGAGGTTGCTGTGAGCTGTGACGCCACAGCACTCTACCGAGGGTGACAAAGTGAGACTCTCTAAAAAAAAAAGATTAAATCAGGAGAGAGGATTAGAATATAAGCTCCCTTTATCTAGAGTTAGTACACTTTTGAAGAACTACTGAAATAGAATTCAAGTTTGCAATGATAAAAGTATCTTCCCAAAGCCAAATTATGAAGCCAGCAGACTGAAGGAAAGTGAAATAAAAAATCATTTCCAATACAAAAAAAATCCTCCCCAAATCCTTAAACAATGGTCATTTTCTCTTTTTCCAAAACACACAAAGCTATAAATAATTAAATGCCACCAAAATGAATATTAATGAATGCTATGTGCTAATATCACAAAAGGTGCTAAAAGACATTTTAAAAATGATCTAAGTAGAAAAGTGTAAGAATTAGAACAACTGGCTCGGCCTGTGGCTCAACCGGCTAAGGCGCCAGCCATGTACACCTAAGGTGGCGGGTTCGAATCCAGCCCAGGCCGGCCAAACAACTATGACGGCTGCAACCAAAAAATAGCCGGGCGTTGTGGTGGGCGCCTGTGGTCCCAGCTACTTGGGAGGCAGAGGCAGGAGACTCGCTTGAGCCCA